TTGGAAAAAGCTCTCTGCAGAAATGTACAGAGTCGCTAGCACTGTATAAGGCAGGCAATAGGTACATACTGTAGAGAAACTTCTTCAAAAAAATTCTAACTTCACAGTGTTCAGCAGTAGCTTTGATACTAATGGTAAGTCACTGAATTCCTGATATATGTTTGAATATGTGTGTACATACCCATGTTAATCTAAGTGCGTAACAATGTGGCCAGTTCACAGGAGCAAAAGCTCCTTTCCATGTCTTTACTAAGCACATTTTAACTCAAGTGTGATTTCCACAGAATTTTTAAAAGGTAAAATATGACTTACCAAAAGACTTTAAGTAAATGTGAATCCTATTTATTCAGAAAATAATAACCATTCAAGGGACTATTGCATTTTGGGTCTGGATAATCATATTATCACAATTTTTTTTTTCTATTAGGAATTCATGAAAGGGATCCCATTTTCTATAGAAAGCCATAAAATGTGTAAGAAATATTAAGAAGGGATTCTCATTTTTTTCAGAAATGAAAGTAGCAATTGAAATGCTAAGATGGAGACAGCTTTAAATTACTCACACTTTACCCAACTTTCCTGCTACTATTCCATGCAAAATTATGTCCACTGAGCAAATTTTTATGAGATAAGGTGATCCATGGAGCAATGCTGTGCTAAGAAACTAACCATACTGAGTTATTCTAATTTGACATCATGTCCAGAAGTTATAGATAAATCATTGGTGCAGGAAACCTAACTTTCTGCCTTCTGTAGGTTTTAACTATAATATTTGATTGAGTAATCAAGCCTCAGTTAATCAAAGGTAAATGCAAATTAGTTTTTTATAAGTTAATAATCCCATTTCTGTTTTTCATAAGAAACATAATTGTGAATTTTCTAGAAATAGCCCTTGAAATCCAACTTGAATTTCCTGACTTCTTTTTTCCTGCTTTTGAAATATGATCGAATTTAGAATGTCCTTTAGTTAGCAATTTCTAGAGCAGAATTTTATTCCCTGGAACCCAAAGATTAAGTGATATCTTCAGAACTGCATAGTTCCCTATTTGGAAAATGTTTGCCTTTTTCATGATTTAAATACCCATTCTTCAAATCAACGTCTCCGTTCTTTAGTGGTAAAATTAAAATAATTAAAGCATTCTCAATAAACAAGAGGGGACGTTTCAAAGAGAATTAAAGTTTAGCATAATGTACCAGTTGCATCCCCAGAAACCTGGAAGAAACACAACCGTACCCAGCCCCAGTAGAGGCTGCACTGTTTTCACCAGTGATGAATGACCAGAGCTCTCTGCTCGAGAAGCGATGACCCCAGTGAACTCTCAGCCTTACACCTTCTCCTTCAGGGATGGAGGGAAGCGGGTAGCTTGCAACCAGGACAAAATGTGAGCCTCAGCTAATTGGTGTGGTTTTGATGATGCCACATTTCTGCCCCAAACCCTTGTAACTAGCAAGTTTGCCCTGAAGATTATTGAATTACTCCACTGATCATGCATTATTTAAAGGGAAGTGCTATTATTATAGAAGCCAGCTGTTTAACCATTGGAATTCTGTCTGTTGGCCAACTTTCAACATAGAGCCGTGCACTGTGACTACACATGATATCTACACACAGAGGGGTCATGGGCCCAGGTGAGGGGGGGGCAGCTCGTCTGCTAAGCCATCTTTGGTTTGCATTCTCTGGAGAAAAAGTTACTGACAAAATAAATATATAAATATGTACAGTGTCAATGTCAAGACTTGGCCAACAAGAAAAATTCTGTTAAATGTTATAAATGCCTGTCCACTCTAACGACTGAGTGTGTAGACACTTCATAATGCCAGTATGACAGATCGCTGGGACTGTACCCAGTTGCAGAAGGGACTGTCCCAGTCACCTGTCTTTTGTTTTAGCATCAAGTAAGGAAAAGTGTTTGGAGCATCTTGGGGGGCTCAAATGATAAATAGAAAACAAATTTTCACTTTCTAAGTTAGAAAATACTCCAACCTTTTCCTGGAAGACAGTGTAAATGGCTTTCAACCATATTGAATATTTGGCCTGGGTGGGTTTCCTTCTGCATGTCTTCACTTGTCACAGAGTCTTCGGAATAGAAAGGACCATGACTGTCATATACCGTGTTCAATACAGGAACATGATCCTAGGATCTATCACAGGTGTTCGTACGACCTTTACTTAACTGCTCCCAGCAATGGGAAGTTCATTACTTTAAAAAGAAGTCTGTCCCATTTTTTAAACTTTTGAGTTCAAATTGTTAGAATTTTTTTTTCTTATATTTAGCCAATATTTCCCTTTCACCTACCAAGTTCTGATTCCACCCACTGGAGCAGAACTGCATGGTGCCTGGTGGGGAGTTTTTAAAGGAAAAGATGAAATAATTCACTCTATCACGTTTAAAAATCAGTCATAATGACCATAGCTGCAATTTAGAAGTCATTAAAAATACTTTTTTTTTTTTTTTCCAAAATTGATACTGGAGCAAATTAGGTTACTGCCTTTCTAGTAAACCACATTGTCTCAGGTTTCTAGTGTTAGCCCGAAGCAACAGTGTCTTTATTTTGGTTCTGAAAAAAAGTAATGTGAAGCATTTGAAGATAAAGGGCAAAACTTTGACCCTCAACTATGGCCTCTCAATTGGTGAGAAATGATTTTTTAAACTAAATATCGTGATGTAGAAACAGAGACCAAGCCTATACGACATTTCAAAGGACTAATTGAACTTTAAAAGGCAACAGGTAAACCCTGTTATATTCATATATTCCCAATGAAGTTCAATTCGTCCATTGCAGATGCTTTGAAAAGACAAAGGAAAACATCTTTATAGGATTGTAGTAGAATAACTGATAGTTACATTTATGGCAAAATCCAAGTCTCTATACCACTATTTCAACAACATCTAAAAAAAAATATGGACATAAGGTAAACTTTCTTTATAAAACATTACAGAAAAGTACTAAATGTCTCTGTTCCTAAATTCATTGATTATGGACTAAACATGCACAGCTATTTTATAGACTCAGTGAGTCTTCTGCACTAGCCGATCTCCCAGTGGCAAGTGAAAGCCCTGCTCAGGCTCCAGAGGGGGCCAGCTGCCTGGTCCCCTAGACCCCTCAATCCTGAGGAGCCCATAGGGTTTGCTCCCAGCGAGAACAGCAGACCCCACCCAGAGAGACCACAACTGAACCCTCACTGAGTTACTGCCCCCTGCTGCCCTAAGAATGACAATAGACCTTCCTTCTGGGGAGGAAGCATCCCCAGGCTCCTGTGCCAAACACCAGGAAAACATCTGTGTTCTCAGAAGATGCCACTAATGGCTGGCCCTTCAAGCAGCAAGGCTGCCAGGCTAGCTTGGTGATGGGCTGTGACCCTGGGTCTGATCTCCCCAAACCAGAGTTCAAAAAATACATGAGGGATTTTGACTCTCAAAACTCCATCCTAAAGAATGGTGTCATTATGCAAACATAAGACTTTTTTATTTAAAATATAATGCTGTCTTCCATGTCAGGAGTTAAGATCAAATATATGTCAGATTGACTAACTGAATTCTTTTGGATCAATTGTATACAAATTTTCTTCCATGAAGCCTGAAAGTCAGTGGAGAAAACCCAGGCCCCCTACCTCCCAAGGGAGTTAAAGGGACAGGAGAGAAAACTGAGACTTGGTCCCCTTGCCCCCTCCTGAGTCAGGGCAGTTTTACTTTTGCCTGTTTTACATATGGGTGTATAAGTAAGATTTGGTTTAACAGAAGTTCTATTACGACAAAAAGCTTACAAAGAATCCAGGTACATTTTAAGGTCCATGCGAGCTTGTTTTGCCCTTTCTTTTCACTCTAGAGCCAGGAAAAGTGTGTTCAAATCAAAACAAAAAATGAAAGCAGACCAAAACCTACTTGCCAAGTAGAGAGGTCTAATTGATTTGCAAATATCAAGAGAAATTTGACTCACGGTTCCCTATGGGCAATCCAAGCCACACGAAAGGGACATTTAGTTCATTTTGTCTCTGTTTAATAATTATTCTATAACAAGACAGAATTGATTATCCTGGTCTCTCTGGGGTGATAGGAGAGGGAGCCCTATCACATTGGTATTGTCATCAGTTCTAAGTTCCAAGGTTTCTGGATGCAATCAACAGTAACACTGCTTCTTTCACAGACCACATAAGATCCTGGAAAGGGGTGCATAGAGGAAGCAAACCAATATTTATTTAGGACCTACTACGTGTGGTGGTACTCTAAGCACTTTCCATACATTTTCTCACATAATCCTCAAACAGTCCTTACAAGGAAGATATCGTTAACCTCCCGTTATTAATAAGTAAACTGAGGCCCAGGAAGTTTAAATGACTTGTCCAGAGTTACACAACAGGCCTCCCGGGCTCTATGAAGCACTTGGGCTTTGCAGAGGGAAGATCTGAGTTTAAATCTTGATTCTACCATTTACTGCGTAATGACCTGGAGTAAATCATTCCCAACTCTGACTCTCAGTCTCCACATCAGGAAAGTAGAGTCTTTCTAGATTTAGACCCTCACTGATGCTCTCTGATTTTACAGTGGAAGCAATTCAGCAAAAGAGCAAATATTTAAGCCATCCTGCCTGGAAAAACTATGTAGATTTGCTAAAAAGATTAAGGAAACTGAATATATGATCTTCTATTTAATTAACATCTCTAGCAGCCTCTCAACTAAGCCAATATATAAGGAAAGGCTAGCATTGGGCATACATGAGACTGTTGACTAAAGGTTGCTGAGAACTTCAGGAGAATGAACACCAAGTGCGTCATGAATGAGCTAGTGCTAACGAGTGTGACACAGACTCCGGGAGACATACTGGAATCCAGAAGCATCTGTGGGGACAGGAATTGTTGGAGAAGCTTCAAAAAGAGGTTGACATACACATGTGTGGGCAGACGAGGGCCAAGGAGGGGAGGGTTCTCGGAGGCCGGGTGGAAACGTGGAGATGGACTATTCCACTCTAAAGCCAGGCCACTCTGCGTTTCGTTTGCACAGACAAGCCCACAGGGTACGGCTCCACCAGTCGGAGGGCCCCCCAGATCGGCATCGTGGACGAGTGCTGCTTCCGGAGCTGCGACCTGAGAAGGCTGGAGATGTACTGCGCGCCCCTCAAGCCTGCCAAGGCGGCCCGCTCCGTCCGCGCCCAGCGCCACACCGACGTGCCCAAGGCTCAGAAGGTAAGCGGGGGGGGATCGGGCCATCCTCTAGGGATCTGTGTCTTATACGTGTGGGTGGGCCAACGGTAATTATGTCCCCGCAGTCTCCCGGCTTATGGGTCAGGACAGCCGCATTCTCACCCCAGATGCCCATCCCCTTGGTCACCGTGCATTGCAGTCTCTCTCGCGCTGCTCTGGGCGATCTGGTAACCAGGAGGCGGCGGAGGCCAGTGACTAAACGTGGGCTTTGGGATCAGACAAAACTGAAGTCCTCGCTTCGCAATCACCAGCTGATCGCCCTAGTAAAATAATGTAACCTATGCGAGCCTCGCTGTCATCCGTAAAGTTAGGACAACGGTCATAGCTACCGCATCAGGTCGCTGTAAGAATTAAGTTAACGCACGTACGGTGTTTTCCACGTGTCTGCGCAACACAGCTGTTGGACAAGTGTTAACATCTGTCATAACTGTAATTAACAACAAAGCCTGGAAACTTTCAAGTCCTAGTATTCTACAAAGGTGCCAAAAAATAAATAAATAAATCTAAAATGGGAACTATTTGAAATTCACATTCAGGGGCAATCGTGATTAAAGAAAAGACATTAAAAATACAAATTTCTGTTTGGCTCAAAAAATACCTAGAAATTTCTAATGATCCAAATTTGCAGGTGCCTTGTTTTTAAGAGCTAGACTTCAAAGAAACCTTAGAGGTACTGTCTCTGCCATCAAAAGTCCATAAATCATCCGATGCACGTTCGTCACCTGATACATTCTTGTTGAGTGAGTGAATGAATGAGTGTACAAATGGATGTAAGTGATTAACTAAAATTTTAGTCATGAGGTAGAAAGAATGAGACCGAAAAAGAAGGTGAAGGAGGGAAAAGAAAGCGAGGAAGACTGAGTAAAGCGTCTCCTCGGGGACTCTGTTGACAAAATGAAAAATAATACGAAACAAAAACCCACCACCTGAGGTTTTAATCTTTGGAGCCCAAATAGCATAGTGCCGAAATCCCAAGAGGAGAGGCCGAGACCTTTACAGTGACATCTTTGCTGCTTCCTGGTCCCGAGGCAGGAGGAGGCCCGGGGGCCTGAGCAGAGATATGTCTCCGGGGAGCCACCTTAAGGGGTAGAAAGGGACCAGGCACAACTTGGTGCCCAAAGAACACAGCAGGGAGCAAGCGCCACAGAAGTTGCTTTGAGGCGAATGAGACTAGAAAGTTGCGCTGGGGATGCTGAAGGGAGGTTAACTCTTTTTCTTCCCAGGTGACCCAGTGCCTCTCAATTTCTAGTTGGGGACAGGGTGGGGGTCAGAGATGTTGAGCCTTGTGACTGAGGTCTAGACACCCGTCCAACACCAGTGCCGCCTCCCGCGGCCCACGGAGCCCGGGCATTCTGGGCTGACTCAGAGGCTCTGCCTGCGGGCCACCGAGGGGCCCGCCTGTTCTCAATGCCATTATTTTTGTGATGTTTACAGTATCAGCCCCCATCCACCAACAAGAAAAAGAAGTCTCAGAGGAGGAGGAAAGGTGGGCCAAAGAAACACCCAGGAGGGGAACAGAAGGAGGGGACGGAAGCAAGTCAGCAGATGAGAGGAACGAAGAAAGAGCAGAGGAGGGAGACTGGAGCTAGGAACTGACCACAGAAGCGGAGAGGACAATGAGGAGGAAGCAGACGCGGGACAGAGGAGTGGGAGTGCGGGACAGGAGACGAAGACCGGTAGCCTAGCCGAGCCAGAGACCGAGCCTGTGTAGGGTGTGGCTGTTAAACGTGGCGAAAATGGAAACGAAGCTTGCTGCCCCCAAGAGAGTCCAAAGAAAAGCAGTGGCGAAAATGCAAAAAGAACGAAAATTATAAAAGAGCCAAATAAGCCAGTTTCCTTCCTCCGAAAAACAGTTAAATAAAAGAATTAAGATTAAAAAGCATCAAGGCTTTTATATACATTTCAAAATGTTGTGTGAATCTATTACAGAAGAATTGCTCATGTCAATATATGTCCAGAGTTAAATGTTAGCCCCAAATTCTCCACAGGACTGAATTGTGTCATAGGAGTTCCCAAATTTACTTTCCTGCAATGGCCTTGGAGGCCGCATTTCTTAGTCAAGCCCAGGTTTGGGCCAAAGGGCATCCAGTATTTGCCTAAAGGCCTGTGAGGTAACCTATGAGAGGAGGTCATTGAACTTTTTATTTTTTTGCACTTTGGAATCAGATATAAAAGATGTATAAGTTTGCTAGGGCTGCTATAACAAATACCACAGACTAGGTGGCTTAAACAACAGGAAGTTATTTTCATATACTTCTGGAGGCTGGAAGTCCAAGATCAAGGTGTCGGCAGGGTTGGTTCCTTCTGAGAAATATTAGGGAAGGACCTGTTCCAGGCCTTTCTCTATGGCTTGTAATTGGTCTTCTCCCTGTGTCTTCACATCATCCTCCCTCTATGTACATCTTTGTGCCCAAATTTCCTCCTCTTATAAGGACACTGATCGTATTGGATTAGGACCCACCATAATGACCTCATTTTAACTTAATTGCCTGGATGCTGACCTCCCCCCCATCTCCAAATACAGTCTCATTTTGAGGTACTGGAAGTTGGCACTTCAACATGTGAATTTTGGGGTGGGTGGCACAATCCAGCCCATAACTGGAGACTTCTGATGTATGGCTACTGCCGTCTGATTCCACCTCCTAAAATATTCTCTCTTGTTCTGTTTCTCTCACTTTCATTCACACACACACACACACACACACACACACACACACACACCCCTAGCTTTTAGATCTGAAATCCTAAGAGTTTCTGCTCCATGGAAATACTAGGACATTTATAAGGCTGCAACAGGCCTCAGAAATCATTTGCTTCAATCTCTCCATTTTAAAGATAAGGATACTGAGATCCAGAAATGGGTAAAGATGTGCTTGGGTTCCAAGCTGCCCTCCTCCTGGCCAGCAGAGAATAGCACATAATCCACATGGACTAATAAGAATTCCAAAAGAAAAAGATGGGGCAAAAGTGGCCCCATGAAGTCTCCCACTAATTTAATATTTTTTCACCAGAAGAACAGAATGAATGAGAGCAGGCATGCTGGATTTTCCTGAGGATAAAGAAAAGCTCAGTAGAATCACAGAATGTAGGTCTTAGAGATCTTCTCCTTTACCTTCCTTGATTTAAACAGTAGGGCTAGGTCTTCATAGATAATAAAGCATAAAGTCTCAAGATCATCCAAATGATCAATTATAAGAGCTGAGAGAGGATAAGTGCTCAGCCGAGCCAATGATGACCGACCGTTGGGGTAAGAAGATGACTAAACCAAGAAGCAAGGCATTGTATCTAAGTAGCCTACGTTGACAATGTCATGGTAAAAAGAAACCTCCTTTTGGCCTAGTCCTTCATGCCCCTGCCATGCGTTCTACTTCAGGGTCATCCTCCATGGTTCACTGAAAACCCTGGCTATATAACGTATGGATATGACCAAGGCTCAGTCTAGGAGAAAAGGTCCAATCAGAAGCATATCGAAGCCACAGATGAGAGCCAAGCCACTGCTGTTGTGGTTGCAAAGTGGATCCTGGGTTATCAGAGCAGACAAAAGCCAGCCTGGTGCCTGAACACATCTGGCCAGCCACCTTATTCAGGAGATGCTGAGTTCTCCTACTAAGACATCATGAGCTAGAACCAGCTTCAGGCACAGGCCAGTACCTACTGTGACTACCACCTGAGAGTAGCCGGCAAACACACATGGCTCTTCAAGGGACCACAGTTGAGCAGAAGAATGAATAGGTCATGTCCTATGAAAAGGCTCCTTAGAGAATTATCTCTTCCTTCTTTCATTAATGATTGAATAAATGTCAATTATGAATCAAGTCTTTGGATAAACTATAATTATACCAAATGATGAACTTCATTCAAGAAGAAGTAAGACAAAGACATTAAACGAAAAAATGTAGAAAGGCAATAGAACTTTCTAGTTAAAGAATGTTTAACTCCCAGATTGTTGATTAAAACTCACTTCTTTTTGGAATGGGTTTTTATCAACTCTAAAGCAAGTCTCTTGAATGGCTACATGTGACTTCTGAATAATATGAACTAAGTAAACAGGAAGAATCTATTAGTCTCTTTCCATCTCCCCCTTTCTAGTATCAATACTAAGCACCTAGTGATATATGGTATATAATGCTGGATGGATGGATGGATGGATGGATGGATGGATGGATGGATGGATGGATGGACGGACTGATGGACAGATGGGCAAATGGATGATCTAGGCAGGTGAATAATGGTAGAAAGACAGATATAAAAATACATAGCACTGCTGAGATGACATGATTCCTCTCATCCTTGCATAGGATAGTGAGGCAAGTACAGAGTGAAAAAAGAGATGGCAAAGGAGTTGTGCTTAAGTAAGTGTTACATGTTTAGAATTTCCTTCTCTGGCCTCAACTGAAATCATTCAAGGACCTACTGCTAAAGGTGGCATCTGCCACCTTTAAAATCAGATGTACTTTATAGCAAATGTTATACACCTATTAGTCCCCTCAATACTTTCTTGAAGTAGGCAGAGTATTAGTCATCAGTTAAAATTCTACTGTTTTAACTGTTTCTCTTAGGGCAAATTGATGATTATATGTAAAACATAGGAATATGTAAAGAATCAGGATCCTGAAATAAAATTGTTGAAGAATATTTTTTTATTGAGTACCTACAATATGCAAACCTCTGTATTAGGCAATGAAGGAGAATTATAAAGATTGGAGAGGCAGTAAAACATAGTAGGTTAAGGGTACAGAATCTGTAATCAGACTGCCTAGGTTCAAATCCTGACTCGCTTACCAGTGGTATGACCTTGGGCAAATGATGTAACTTACCTGTGCCTCAGTTTCCTCATCTCTCAATGGGAATCTACTCAATTGAATCTATCTAATTGATTCTCATACAGTTGTGAGGATTTGAGATTTTGTGTGCGTGTGTGTGTGTGTGCAAATATATATTATAGTGAATGCATTGGTGCCTAGTACATAGTAAGCGCTATT